TCACGCAACCAATTTCTTTCCACACGCTTTATCACGCACACTCACCCTACACGGCCTCCTCCGTACACCGCCACTTCCATAAGCATTCACAACACACACCACACCTCCAAATTTCTTTTTTTTTTTTCCTTTTTCCTTCTCCTTTTCCCGACCTCCCTTTATACCCTGCCAGCCTACCCAAAACGACGTCATTTTTTTTTCTTTCAAAACGACGTCGTTTCCTACCTATTAGAAATTTATTTATTTATTTATTTATTTTTATTTTTTTCTTTTCTTTCTAGTCCTTACAGCGCGTAACTCAACTATAATTTGTATTTAGCGCGCACGACTATTTCAACTATAATTTGTATTTAGCACGCGAGATGGTTGATGGGTTCGTTCATATTTTGGATATTTATACATTTATTTATTTGCATGCTATCTCTAAATTTCATATTTTGATGAACTATTGAATTTTTATGAGATTAAAAATATTCTTAAATATTCTTTTATTTATTTTACATTACACTAAATAGTTTATATATTCATTAATAATTATGATAATTTTTTCTTTAAATTAATCTTTTTTTTTCTGATTATTGCTTTAATAATCTTGTTTAAATCTTGCTTTAATAATATTAAATTATAAAATTATTATTTCAACCCTTTCACCACTTAAATAATTTTTTTTAAAAAAACACATTTTATTTTATTTTTCACTTTTTTGGGCTATTTTTTTAAGTAAAATTTCAAATTTATATTTTTAATATTTTTACTTTTCTTCTGATTTTCTTCCTTTTTTTACAGCAGATTTCTTTCTCCTTTTTCTGTAAATTATTTTCCTTTCTTCCATATATTTTCCTTTTATTCTTGTGGTGCATATCAGGCCCATCAATGAAATTAATTTATCCTTTACATCTTAATAAATACCAAATTATTAATTAATTTTTTATACATTAATTAATAAAAAAATGTGAAATATATATAACTGGTCAAAAAAAATTTCAATTAAATCTCATACAAAATTTTATTTAATTTTAATAAATTTTGAATTTATTGTAAATCATAGCAAAAAAAATAGCTCATACAAAATCCAATATCTTCACCTACTTATATAGATTTTAAATATTTAATTTATAAAAAAAAAAAATTTAATGTGAAACATAGATACAAAAGTTATATATGGAAAAAATTTCCCCCAAAATTTTACCCTTACAAATTCATTTCAATCAGATTTGACCTAGAAATATAAAATTCAGATAGTTCTGAAGCATATCTCATATGTTTTCTCCTTCTTCTCTCTTTCACAAAATCAAGCCATAATGAAGTAAACAGTGATTCATGCATTCAAAACCATAAAATAAATAAATCAGATACCATAATGCATTTGAAACTGTAAAATAATTAGAACAGGAACTGACAGAGGAATATATCTGGTTTGGGGCTCCATTAACAATCGTAATAATTATGTATATCTATTTGATTCATAAAATACCGTTTTATTATTTATTAAACTTTAATTCCGTTATAGGAAATAAGATGAGAGGTCCTTACTTGATTTGAAGTCTAAAACCGATTTTTCACTGCGCCTACGGGTAGTCCCTAGATTTCCTAAATTTTTCTCCGAAAACTGAAACGCACTTATGGTACCTGCACATGTCCCCAAACATCTCAAAATCAGACCCAGGGCCTACTCGGCCAATTTTGAAATTCTGGCTCCGGCAACGGTGCCGCCACCCGCGGCGGCGATCCGCCTCGGGTTGGCTGTTTTCGGCCGTTTCCGGTCGAATTCAACTAAATTAGCACCAGTTCCTGCAAGAAAACACACGTAAGGCCCTCGGGGGGCCGGAAAAATGCAGAAAATCGAGACTTACCGGTGGCGGGGCTCTCCGGTGCAGCGACTCCTCCGGTTCGAGTCGCGGTTTGGTGTTTTGCTCCAGTCAATTTCTAGAGGAAGGAACGGTGGTCACAATAGTAGAAAAATTACATTGAACGGGAATCGGGAAGGGGAAGGGCTTCATCGGAGGAAAAAATTGAGAAAACCCGCAGCGGCGCCGCTGGGTTTCGGGGACATTTTTCGACCAATTGGCCGGTATTTTTGTTTTGATTTGACCACAGGTGGGTTTAGAATCGAAATCCGAGCCAAGGAGAGAATTTTTACCTCGTTTGGCGGCCGAAAAGTGCTCCAGTTGGGCGGCGGGTGGTGGCGGTCGGTTCCCTGATGACTGGGCTGTCTTCTTCGGCGAGGGCTTTGGCAGCTAGGATTAGGGTTTGGGTGTGGATGAGATTATTTATAACCTTCCGCTTTTAATCTGAGCCATCAATCGCGATTTAATCTGGGTCGTCCGATCGCGATTAAATAGGGAATGAATATGGGTTGTTCATCACGATGCGATCTGGACCGTCCGTGCGTGATTCAATCTAGGCCATCCGTACGCTTGCGATTTGGGCCGTCCGCACGCGCTTATGATTTGGGTCGTCCGCGCGCGGGGGAATGGATCTCAACCGTTCGATCGTGGGCACACAGATCGCCCACGTGGCTTTCTTCCGTGTGGCTTCCCGCATAAGCGTCTCTGCCACGCAGCGTGTCCTGGTTGGCTGGGGCTGCTGACATGGCGCAATTTCTCTAAATTGCGTTTTGATCCCCTGTTTTCAATTTTCTTTTCAAAAACACCCACAGAACCCAAATTTTCACCCTTTTTTTCTCAAAATT